GTATAAGAAAAAGGCCACGAAGAGTGCAGCTTTGAGCAGAATTTCACTGCTCCCTAAGGGGCGTACTTTCATATTTATTCGTTTATTTGTCTATTAATAAATTAAGTTTTTATTATTTTTATTTGTTTTATTTATTTAAAGTTTGTATTATATTTTATATGATAATATTTATTTTTATATTATTTATGTCAATATTTCGATGGCAAAGTAAATATTTATTTATATGCCTACATTTACTCATTATTTCAGTTTTCTTGTTTGAGAGTTTATTTTTGTTTTCCAACTAATTATTGAAATTTTTTCTCTAAGCATAATTTACAATTTTTGCTGTTAATACTGCGCGGGGCTGCTCTTTTTATAATTTCCCAATATATTTCAGTGGGGATTTTGTTTTCTTTTTTACTCCATATGTATTTTGATAGGGTTGCATTCTTTGTGTATTTTTTTCTTTAAAATGACATTTTGTGGTTATATCTTTCTTCAAAAGTTTTTTTTTCTGTGGCCTTTACGGGAATTTTTCTTCTGTGTTAACGTTAGCATTTACGATAGCTTTGTATATTATGTTAATGGTTAAGCATTTATTGTTAAGTGGGTAATGTTCTTTGCTTCTGCAGTTACATTTAATAGTGTTATTTTGTAGTATGTTAATGTTATTGATGTAATTGTTATTGGTTGTGACTATTTTTTCATTGTACGTAGTTATTATTATCTCCATGTTATCCATGTTACTAATTTTGGTTCTATTTTTGTCGATAATTTTCTGTTTTTAGAGAAGTCAATTATGTTAGAGAAGTCAATTATTTTGAAGAATATTTTCCCGTTTTTTGTTTTTATTGTATTGTTGTAAGGAGAAGCGAACATTTTTCTGTTGTCTTTGAATTATTTTCGTTCATTTTCTAGGGTTGATTTATATGTTATTTATTACTTTCATTGAATATTTTTAGACTACTAGAATGAGTTGAAATTCATTTATTTATAGATATGGATATTTGTTTAAATACGTTTGTGGGTGGGTTAGAATTTTTGTTATTGTATATTGGTTGTTTGGTTTTCTGTATGCTTTGTAAGTTCCGTTGCTTAGGTTGAATGTTATATCTAAGAAATTTACTATTTTTTGATTTGGTTTTATATCCATTGTAAATCGTAGGGTGTTGAAAGTTTTTTTTATTATTTCTTGTTTTATTTTTTCTGTAGTTCTGCCGTTGCAGTTTCTTGGGATTAATATATATATATATATATATATATATATATGTTTGAAAATATTTTTGTAGGTACAAAATTTAATAATATAAATAAAAGTGTGAAGCTTAAAATTACTAGACATATTAAAAACGAAATAGTTGGTTTCGCTTCCACTTGAAGAGTGGAAGCGAAACCGTCCATTCAAAGACAAGGTATGAATCCTGATCTTAGTGGGCATATGTCGCTTAATTCTCATGTCCAGGCGTTGAGCGATTCTCCCTATCTAGTCAGCACCGCAACTACAATTGTATTTGTAAACAACAGAATTAATTGTTGGGGCTCGATGTTATTTGTCTCTAGCTCCTTGAGCTCATATCCACTTTTCCTTCTCATTACATATTTTCTAGTGTTTTTAATTTAAGTTGAATCTCCCGTGGAAGCATGAAGAGCGGGAGCGAAACCGGTTGCTTCGTTTTTAATATGTCTAGTAATATTAAGCTTCACACTTATATATATATATATATATATATATATATATATATATATATATATATATATATATATGAATATGTTTATTTGAATTGTGAGTTTCTGACCCTGGGTTTCACGCCCTTGCGATGGTCAAACTATAAGTATCGCAGATATATAATACGTAAATAATATATGTTAAAAAGAAGAGAGGAACCCCAAATGTTTTTGGTTGTAATATGAAAAAAAAAATATTATGCTTTATTTATAAAGCATAATATATATATTTAAAAAAGAATATCCACATTACAACCAAAAACGTTTGCGGTTTCTCTCTTCTTTGTAATATATACACTTTTCTCTCGTTGGAACAATTATAACCTCTTCCCTTTATATATATATATATATATATATATATATAGAGAGAGAGAGAGAGTTGGGGACATTATTAATGTTGAACTGCCCCCCCTTCTTCTGAGGTTCTCTTGGGCGACGGTCTTGATTCACTCATAACGTTGCATCTTCTCTATCTTTTCTTTCTTCTTTCGGCCGGTGATCGATATTTGGTTGTTCGGAGGTAAAATGAGAATTCAACAAAAGGGATTTTTAAACTTATTTATTTTATTAAACACGTCGACGTGTACTTTTTTTTAACTAGCCAGTGGGATCGCTATCCCACCTCCAGGCACGATTTTAACACGTCCATATTGTTCGACATGCAAATCTTAACTCCTTGATGAAAACACTCTCTATCTCTCCTACGTTGGCTCAGCCAATCAAAATCCGCATTCCTATTTTGTCTACCATCTGACTTTAAAGGTCATCTTCGGAAGGCCTGAGCCAAAATACAATAGTATGAAACTATTATTTAACATTCTTTACCTAGCCATCAAAAAATTCATTTTTTGAATTTTATTTCAACCAGATTATATTTAACATTAAGATAGATGTGTCCAACTGGATCTTGATAGATATTGATGCAAGTTTTGTTGAAGAATTTTTCATGATGCGACATGATAATGAAGCTAAAACAGCACTCAAACGAGGTTGTCAAGTTATGTGTACACACAAGGGTGTTGTTACCAATTAACCGAACTTATGGTCGAAGGTCAAATTTATGTTCCTCTTCTTTGCTATCGCATATCTTATGGAAACGGCATTCTCCAGGTGAATTACATATTAAGGAAATCGCCAAATTGCCTCAGTGTTACGGAAAGGGGAAATCTACACAAACTTTTCTCCAAATGTTTTGACTCTCGTTAAAAGGTATCAAGCTCAGGAAAAGCATTGAATAATATTAGCTTTTGCTCTTATTCTTTTATAGTCTGTCGTAATCCATAGTTTTCTTTCCATTTACAGGTATACCTCGGGTTACGTCGTTTCGAGTTAAGTCGTTCTCGATTATACGTCGTTTGTCAAAAAATATATGGAAAAATAAAAATCAAGATCAAGTCATCTTATTCGACTTTACGTCTGTCCGCCACAAATATTGAAGTCGTGATATCACTAGAAAAGCGTTAAAAGCACATGAAATCATGTTACTGTAAAATAAATAAAGAATAAAAGTATATAAAAATCATATTAAAATACGCACATTTACAGCAAATGTTAATATAATCACCATAAATCCTAGACAACGAAATATGAAAACATCTGAGATTACTTTTTTTTTTGTACTATATTAAAAACTATAATTTATTTGTTTGTTAGATTAAAATAGATTCTTATTAAAAATGCATTTATAAATAAAATACAGAACTGGGAATGGTTATTTGTGGTTTAGCCTAGTGACGATTCGGAAACAAGTAAATTCGACTTAAGTCGTTTTACGAGGTAAGTCGCCTCTTCTGGAACAAATTACCGAAGTAGGTGAGGTGTACTTGTATATCAAGATGAGTGGTCGTTCCTAAATCCAACAGAGTACGTTCCTTTTCATTACAAAACCATCACCAGCTTGTATAGAAATCTGCTGACAGACTGCATCCATAGTCCCTTGAAGTGCACTGCACACAGGACTACAAACGTCGACTTGAAAGACATCTAAAACTCATGTCACAAGGCTTTATTAACTTTCTCAGTCCAACTAGAATATCTTCTGAGAATTTACGCTGTAGAGTGCATTGGCTGATGGATTGAACAGCACTAGCGTTGAACTGATGTCAGGTTTGGTGAAATATTTAACTTTGGTGGTGAGAATCCTTGAAGATCACCAATTCTGGTATTATTGCATGACTATTGACGACCACTGCATTTGCTTGTCGCTAATTAGTTAGAATTTCATAGATTTATGTTATATCTTTGAGAGAAATAACTTAGAGCTGTTGCCACCTCCGAAATAGAGTGATTCTATTTTCTAACCACAAGAAACATTTTGCAATTAAATGAGGTTATATTTGAGTCCTATGGATGCCGTAGCTACACTACTTCTTTTCCTATTCTAATACACATTATTTATCCCGCTGAATCTATTTCTACTAGTGAAGGAAGGCTCTCTTATTCATTTGAACATATATATTGACCATATATTATTAAAAATTCATTTATAAATAAAATAAAGAACTGGAATGTTTATTTGGGGTTTATCCTAGTGACGATTCGGAGACAAGTAAATTCGACTTAAGTCGTTTTTCGACTTAAGTCGCCTCTCCTGGAACAAATTACCGACGTAAGGTGAGGTATATCTGTATCTTCGTTCATAGTTTGAATAATTAAAACTTGAGAAAATATCATTTAAATGTCATCCGTTAATTCTGAAATGATGATTGGTGGGCATTCCTAATGTTGGAAAGTAGGCGTTACGCAGAAAAAAACGTTTGCTGAACAATTTTCTAGATTCGCATTTTATTCAATTTACATATTTTATTGGCAAATAACATGTGTTTCAATTAAAAAACGCCGAAAGGTTTTTCGCAATTTATGAGGAAGATAAATCCAAAATAAAATTTACCTCTCCACCAGAAATACCCCACTGTAAAGTGCGTCAAATTTATCATTAGTATTATGAAGGGTGTTTTTTTTTTTTTTTAGATAAACCAGAATCTCGTTATAAATGCAAATTATCTCGCTGAGAAAAAAAAAAAAAACTTCATTGAATCGAAGAAAAACAAATTTAGAAGAATGCGACATTTAACCTTTGGATTCCAGCAGCATGAATTTGACAAGCCGTTTTGATTTACTTATTTGTTTTTGTATTGTAGTTAGTGAAATCCTGCATTTCTTACAGAGTTCGTAAATCTTTTCAGAATAGCATTCCATAAAAATGGCGTTTGAATGCTTCTTAAATTTTCCCGGTACAGTAAAATAAGATTTGCTACTTTTTTCTCATTCTGTTTGCTTACCCAGTAGCTGAGTTACGGTCATATCACGTTGAAACAACGGTCCACCATACTATCACCGAAGTTAAGCAACGTCGAGCCTGGTCAGTACCTAGATGGGTGGCCACTTGGGAATACCAGGTACAGTAAGCTTGGATGTGCGGGTGGTGTAATGGATAATAGCCTATTTCCAATTCTAGTTGGGTTCATTATATTCTCTAACGCCCATATGCCCTAGGGGAAAGATATGAATCTACATTTTCTCCGCCAGCTATGGGTTAATTAGTAAGTCTTGTAGCGCTAAAAACATTATTATCTCAAGAAATCAAAAAATAAAATTAGATACAAAATTTATAGATTTCGGTATTAAATGACCCATATAGATGTTGATATATCACTAAACAAAAACAACCAGGAAATTGTAGCTGTTGTGATTATTTATTACGTTTTTCCATGTTGTCCGCGAATTATGGAAGCAGGTGAAAGAATTCTGCATCCTTTTGATCAAGTAATCCTCGAGCAAATAGAGCATGAACCTTTGTGTCGTCTGCGGGCGTTTCCTCCAACAGCTTTATTGTAGGCATAGTAAAACATTTTCGCACAAATAGTTTGTCTACAGCAACATTTGTCTCTCGCGACTGATAAACTATTGTGACGATCTATATCGCACACACATACGTACATACACAAATACAAATCACATACAACGACAAGCAGTCATTGGTTAATAAATCACCACTACGTTATTATAGACAATTTACAAATCGCAGCAATGCGACAATTTTGTAATCGCTCTATTTTCATGTAGTCAGTTTTGTGCACTTTTGGGAGAAACGGATCCCAGAAGATTTCTTAAGTCTATCTAAAACTCGCTCGCTGATTGGCCAATGCCAACCAATCAGATCGTCTGCACGTGAAGAATAACTCTTCCCGCGCTGCGGTTTGGAGCCTATGGTCACCTATATAAGCAAGAAATATTCTTAGCTAATTAGTGAGAATTCAGCTGCCAAACGAATCCACGACAGTTGAAACCATGCACCAACCTTCTCACTCACACAACCACTCACATGCTGAACATTCCTTATACACTCACATATTCTTTTCTTACACAGCAAATCTGCTGAGAACAATTATTACAAGAAACTCTCACAAACTTTCTTTCAGTGAACTTTGAAATACAAATAATAGTTAAAGAGAGATAACTCTTGTTTTATTCAACCTTTTCTTACTTAAATGCATGCTTTCTTTCACATCGTTATACATCTTGTTGAATACATATTTTATGTGTAATGACGTCTTTTGCTTATCCTTTTTCACGTCAGTTTTGTTTCCTAATCTAAAGTTAGATTAATGTGGTGAAGTCAGCCACACTATCAAATCCTTAGATTACAAGCGAAGATAATCCAATCCAAGTTTCTTTAGAAGAATGATGAAGAATTGCTTAAATTCTATTAGGAAAAAAAACAACATTCAGAATAATGATAGATGTAAGAAAAATAAAGCACCCGTGAATGTTAAATGAAGTTTAATAAAAGGACCTAACAATTCGTGCTAACTGCTCTCTTTTGCTAATACCATCGACTTCAGTATCTTGAATAGAAAGGTATTGATATGATTTCACATTTTCTGCAATTTATTCTCTCACCATCTATATTTCACTTACGTGCAATGTATCCTCACATTCTTTGGACCATCTTTGGCACGGTCTGCTATAAGCGAATCATGTTTGGCACTAAATTTAAGAACTCACAACGAACATTTCCCGAGTTCAGTTCATCTCTGGACAACATCCTTAATCAAGGATTATTTCTACGACATTCTGTATGTAACAGCGATTGTCACGAAATTTCTTCTGCTAAGCTTCACTTACTGTTGCGTTTGTAGTCATACCAGGCTACGCAAGAAAGTTTATGACGTAGTAGTTTCATGTGTTTTTCAATGTTCTTTTCTTTCATGTGCCTTTTCCCATCGTCTAAAGCCAGTCTTTATACACTGCGTGCAAAATTATTATGGAGATAACTTTTTTTTATAATATTTCAAAAACCGTTTAATCAATTCACAAAATTTTCACACAATGTTGGCAACACTGACCTGCGCAATCACTGAAATTTTCGACCTGATCTGCGCAATGTAAACAAACTGGCGCCATATTTGTTATCAGCACGGTGATTTCTTGACATATCTCGTGGCATTACAGCAGATGACATCCTACAATTAACAAATTCTATGGATCGTCGAATTCTTCAAGTAATTTCAAAACAGGGAAAGCACATTCCCTATTAATTTTTTAAAAACTGTGCCTTTGTTTGTATCTGTTATTATTTGTTTCATTATCTTATTTATTAGCTTCTTTTGATCATAAACATTCACGTGCAACATTAATAAACGTTTTGTGTGCTCAATTCTGGGATTTTTACTAAACCTTTCTAATAATTTGGCATGCTCAAATCACCGTACTGATCAGGCGCAGATCAGTGTTGCCAACATTGTGTGAAAATCTTGTGTGAATTGATTGGACGGTCTTTGAAATATTATAAAAAAGTTATCTCGATAATAATTTGGCACGCAGTGTAAATACGACATCTGCATCGCTATTCACTCCGTGACGTAATGTAGCGCCTGTACGCAAAAGAGACCATTATATAAAAGTCTCGAGAATATTCTGCTTTGTCTATCGAACCAACCTTCAACCATCCGTCCTTGCATGGAATATTGCTGTCATATATGGTCTGGTGCCACATCTGTAAGTCTAGAGGTTCTCTACAAAATCCAGAGACGGATATGCAATGTGATAGGTCCTGATCTGGCATCTAGTCTACAGTCGCTTTTTCACAGACGTGCCGTGGATTTCCTCTGTCCTTTCTATAAGTATTTTCACGGTAAATGTTGTGACGAGGTGTTTTCGCTGGTTCCCAGACTGTATGAATTTAAGCGAGCTACTAGGTTGGCAGCTAGGTCCCACCCTTACGCTATCGAAAAGGTTAAATGTAACCGTCTCTTCTACTCAAACAGATTTTTCTCTGGCACTTCTCGTCTGTGGAATTCTGTTCCACCTACTTGCTTCCTTGATAACTATAATCTTCAAATATTCAAGTGTAATGTCAATCGATATCTTCTGATACCTTGATCTTGTTCCCCGTCCTTCTCTTTATCCTCTCCCCAAACACGTTTCTTTATTCTTGTTCTCTACACTCTGTAACCCCTTGCATACTAGTGGAACTCCCGCCTTGATTGAGGTGAAATGCTTAAAAAAAGTGTTCACAAATGACAGAGCATGACTTTTTCCTTTCCCTACACTTTGGATATTTATACTGACCAGGTTGAACGGGATTTTCAGCGAGAGGTTGAAATATATCGACTAGTTCAGTATCAGCCTTCTTTTAATCTCTGAAAATGTTCAGAGATTAAATTACTTTCGCATTTTTAACATCACAGGCTGTCTTCATCTTTTTCGTCGAGATTTCTGATTCTTTAACAGCATAATTCTTTATTGTAGCACGCTCTGAAATGTCCGTTTTTAAGAATTATAGAAACACGTAAAAACAAAGGCACTTCTTGAGACTTAATACGTAACTGACTTCTCCAACAAATCTCGTCATTTGTATTGAGATTCAAAACAAAAAGATTCTAGATTCTTCTCTCACAAGCATAATTCTATTTATCTTACTAATCTGTAGGATATTTATTGTATATAAAATACAATTTTGGCACAAGGTCAAAATGGTGAGGGGTTGAGGCTGGTCGTCGCTAACTATCTTATACCTAGCTAATCTGATTCACGACCCATTCACACATTACAGTTTCCACATTCACCAGAAGAATTCGTCCGTCACCAATCAATCCTCTATCCACCATAATACCGCATTCTCTCAAGGGGAACCTACAAAACGCGCCCCATGCCTTAATAATGTAATGATAATATATATATATATATATATATATATATATATATATATATATATATATATATAAAATTTAATAATGAAGAATGATAAGGGAGGGAGATGAACCCAATAATAAAACTAAAACTCAACACAAAGTAAAACTAAACATAACTGATGCTAGTAGGGCCCGTCCAACCCTCAAAAAGGAGAGGCCGCTGTATTCTGCCCATGGGACAAAATTAAGAGGCTCTCTCACTAAGGGAATGGGAAGAGGGAAAATATAGATGGACATGGGAAAATATAAAGCTGACCTAGTCGAGATAAAAAGGGGGCCAAAACAAACTGATTAACGTATAGCAAAAACATACATCTGATAATCAATTCCAAGTTGATGTTTGGGCAATAAAAAGTTACTTATGTTTCAAATCACTAAAAGAGATTCCTGATTTTGTCTCCAGTCATCTGACTCATCAACAGGGTTAGGTTTACATCGAATAAGACCATAATATCTCACACTTAATTTGTATTTTGAATATTAACAATCTACTCAGATTTCATTCATTAAAATACTTTAGTTTATAAGAGTGGATTACTTTACCAATTCTAGAATCTTTTATTTATGTCTCCAACCAATTTTATCGATTTAGTTAAGATTTACACCCTGATAAATAAATTTTATATTGTTTTCCTAAATTTCTCATATTTCACTGATCAAACAGTGAAGTCTTCCTCATTCAACATACTTTTCTTTAAGTTAAACACAGCTTTACCTACCTTTCTTACTTTTAGTCACTGGCTGACAAGATATAGTAACACAAACAACCAACCTTCTCAACTTTTCCTCGCGATAGTGTGCTAAAGAAAATGTACATTTTCTAAATGAATGCCACTTTCTCTCTTTTCTTTAAAAAAGTTAATAAAAAAATGTTAATCGTCATCAATCGTATCCAACCTGTTTTTTTCCTTTTTGTCTCAACTCCAGTTATTGTGACGTATTTCACATGGAAAAATCCATTTTTCATTGTAGGTAACGGAAATTAACTATGTATTGCTTTTCGGAAACTAAAATTATCAATATATATATATATATATATATATATATATATATATATATATATATATATATATATATATATATATATATATAAATTACACATCAATATTATATTAATTATATTATATTATTATATAATATTCTTATATTATATGGTTAGATTAGATAAGCTTTGTGTGCCTAGTTAATATGAGTAAGTGTTGTTCCTGGCC